CTGCTAACCAAAAAGGTCAGCAGTTCAAATCTACCAGCCGCTCCTTGGAAACCCTATGGGGCAGTTCTGCTCTGTCCTATAGGGTTGCTATGTGTCCAACTTGATGGCACCTAACAACATCACCCAAGAATGGGGCAAGCAGGAACCTGTCCATCCCCCACACTCACCACCCAAAGAATGGGACCTGGGGCAAGTCGGGAGCAGACTCCAGCCACCAAACCACTCCCTACTGCACATTCCCATAAAGGTGGGCAGAAGACACTGGCTGGTCAGGAACCCCTGCAGCCAGGGAGACGCTTCAGCAGAGCTGGGAGCCAGAGCTGTCAGCAAATGCTTTCTGTAAACGGCCACATATTTTCAGCCTCACGGACCATAGGTCTCCACCACAGCTCCTTGACTCTGCTCAGGTCGGGCCATAGCAACCAGAGACACTGGAAATGAATGGGCGTGGCTGTGTGCCCAGAAAGCTTTATTTATGGACACTGAAATTTGAATTTCATAGCATTTTCCCGTGTCCCAAAATATTATTCTTGTTTTCATTTTTTTCAAAATGAAAAAATGCAAAAGCCATTTGGAGCTTGCAAACCCAGGCGGGGGATAGATCTGGCCATGGCTGCAGTTTGCTGACCCTGTCCTAGCCACTCCTCTCGCCATATGCGTGCACCAGGCTTTCTAGGAAAACCCAGATCTACCATCCTCATGGTATATAAATACAAGAAGCCCAGGCAGACACCTAGGAGGGTCTTTGAGAATGGGGATCACCAAGCTCTCCTGGCCTTGGCCTTGTCCTTGCCAGCAGCCGGACACAGCCCCACCTGGCCCCTGTGGGCTCTGGTCTGGCTGGCTTGGCATGTGGGTGCTTCGGGGTTACTGCCAGAATGACCTGTGCAGCTTCTGCACAGGGAGGGCCGAGGGCAGACACTAGCGGGTGGGGGGCCTTACTCCATCTCCTTCTGCTCTGCCTCCTCGGGGCTGAGGTCCTCCTCCACTCCATAGTCCAGGATGGAGCCAACCCCAAAGGCCCTGTTGTGCTGGATTAGGGGTCGGATGGACTCCTGGTCCTCGCCAGCCACAAACTGCCCGTAGAAAGTCATCTTCATTAGCTTGTCGAACAGCCTTTGCCCCAGAAGTCTCCTGGCCACATGGAGCAGCTGAAAGGCAGAAGTCACCGGCTGTCCTGGGCCACCCGCCTTCCCCCTCCCTGGCAGGCCACCCCCTAATCCACCCTCATGCCCACCACAGAGCCTTGACACGATCTCCCCTGAGCACGGAGCCCTGGTGGCACAGTGGTTAAGAGCTACAGTGTGCTACGACTACTAACCAAAAGGTCAGCAGTTCAAATCCACCAGCTGCTCCCTGGAAACCCTACAGGGCAGTTCTAATCTGTCCTATAGTGTCGCTATGAGTTGGAATCGACTCGATGGCAATGGATCTGGTCTGGTCCCCAGAGGGCGCGTCAACACTTGGCTCACGGTCTTCAGCTTCTTGTGAAGAACAGAAGCACCAGCCTGCTTCTCCACTCAGAACCACTGGAAATCACCCCCCTGTGCACCCCGAGCAAGACAGCAGGCCTGAAACACCAACTCCTGGGCCACTGTGACTTTCCCTACACCCAGGAGCCACCATGAAGGAGACATACTCACAGGGACCCCGCCAGTACACAGTGGGTGCCCCATCACTACTTGCTGGTAAGGGAAAGAATGGCTTGTCTGGTCCCTCCCAGGGACAAGCAGTGGGCATTTCTGTAACACTTTCTGTATCCAATGAGTCCCTGGGTGGTGCAAATGGTTAATGCGCTTGGCTGCTAACTGAAGGGCTTCGGAAGAAAAGCCTGGCGATCTACTTCTAAAAAATCAGCCACTGAAAACCCCATGGAGCACAGTTTGACTTTGACATGCGTGGGGCCGCCATGAGTCGGATTTACTCGATGGCACCTGGTTTCTGTAGTCACATTTCAGCTGGTTCCACTGAGGGTTTGATGTGACTTCCTAGGATGTGAGCGCCCAGATTCTTCCATGTTTTGCCTACTGCTTATTCCTGCTGAAGAGTGAACACATTCAAAACGATACTGCCATGAGCTCTGACAAGCTGCAGTGGCTGGAGCAAAGAGCACCCCAACAACAAGCTGGCAACCTGCCTACACAGGTCTGGGGAGGGAAGTCTTACCTTGGACAGGTGGGGACTTGAGCAAAGTCGGCTAGGGTGGATGGAGACAGCTCTGAGGGACATGCCCTGGAGGAAAACAGCTTCCTATCAAGCACAAGGCTTTCTCCTCAAATCGAATTCCACCACATTCCAAATTCCTAAAAGCATTCCTTCAAACTTCCTAGGTGGCTGCTTCATGCCAAGCACAATTTCCGAGACAAGAAACATCTGAACCACACAGACGAGGAACTTGCATCCTAGTGGGGGAGACCTCAAAGAAGGAAGGAGCAAAGTCATGCCACAGAGTGACAGAATGGAGTGGTGTTTGCTCACTTAGATGAAGGAGGGGACTGACACAGAAGCATGAAAGCGGTGGAAGGCTGCCTGCAGTGTGGACAGCCAGGACAGAAAAGGAATGAAGGACACGTTCTGGGACAAATGGAGGCTCCTGGGGCTGGGAGGAATGACCACAGGGGGGGCCAAGGCGGCTAGGCCCTCACCCACTGCCCTGCCTGGAAGCCCCTGTGTGTACACTGCCCCCTCCCCCTGACTTAGCTCCAAGACTGGAGTAACAGAACGTTTCTTTGTGGGGAATATCTCTTGGGACCGTTGTTCTGGGGAGTAATCTTTGATAAACTCCATGCTGAGAATATACACAGAACACACACCAATCTAACAATTCCTACATGTACAATTCAGTGACACTGATCATCCTCTTCTATTTGTGCACCCATTCTCACCCTCCCTCTCTGAGCTGCCCACCCCCACCCCAAAGTTTCCCATCCAATCCCTGGAGTTGCTGTTATCAACTTGATCCCACATAGACAGATCATAAAAGAGCACAATGCTCAGGGCAGACATTCCTTATTAGTCAAGCTAAACCATTATTTGGTTTTAAGAAGACTCTAGGAGATACCCTCTGTTCAAGGTTCAAAGATAATCTCAGGGCAATAGTTTCAGGCTTAACCATGTTTTAGTGGAGGACAGGTGTGAAGGGCCTCTCTAGGCCCCTTTGGGCCAGGCTGGTGTCTCTTCCTCTCAAGCGATGACCATATAACTGGCCACACTGGACTCCTCTGAGCGCCACCAAGCACAGCAGGAACCAGATTCTCCACCAGTGCCATCCAGAATTCAGGGCCTGGACACTCAGCTCTGCACTGTGCCAACTTGTGCACTGTGCCAGAGGAGGCAGTATCATGCCAGTCAAACAACTCTGCCACCTTCCACTTCTCGGAGGCTTCACTGCCCTCATCTCCCATCCCACGGCCACACCTTCACATAAGCCTGAGGGGTGGCTGCGGCTCCTTGCAGGGCCTACCCTTCTGTGCTCTGCGTGCAGCCTCACCTCCCCAACTTTCTGGGGGGCAGACATAGTGCCCTCAGCGCAGTCTCACCTGCACAAAGAGCCTTCCAGATCCTCAGCGTCAACAACGTCACCCTTGTGAACTGTTTCCAAGACCACCTTAAAATAACTGTCACCTCTACATAACCAGAATGTGACTGAGACAGTTGTTCTGCTTTTCACTTCCCCGAAGCCCTCACTCTCCCAAGTTACTTAACTTTAAAGTTTTTAAAGGTGTGTGTTTGAGGGACTTCCTATTTGTCACCATGACCATCTGTTCTGAGTGACCTCTGTCTGGGGAGGCACTGGGTCACAGCTCCAGGAATTCTGGGGTCCCAGGCCCTTCAATACTGCCAGACTCCTCTTGGGGCAACACTTATATTCCAAGTGGTAACTCTGTATTTGGTAAGCGGTATTTATCTTAAGAACACTTAATTCACTTAATAACACTTAATTCTAGAACACTTAATTGTGCTCACATGGAACCTGTACATCCGCCAAGAGGCAGTCATTCGAACAAAACAAAGGGATACTGCACAGTTTAAAACCAGGAAAGGTGTACATCAGGGCTGTACTTATTCAATCTGTGTGCTGAGCAAATAATCCGAGAAACTAGACTACATAAAGAAGAACTCGGCACTAGGATTGGAGGAAGGCTCATGAACAACCTGCGATATGCAGATGACACAACCTTGCCTGCTGAAAGCAGAAAGGACGTGAAGCACTTACTGATGAAGATCGGACCACAGCCTTCACTGTGGATTACACCTCAACATAAAGAAAACAAAAATCCTTGCAACTGGACCAATAAGCAACATCATGATAAATGGAGAAAATACTGAAGTTGTCAAGGAGTTCATTTTACTTGGTTCCACAGTTAACGCCTATGGAAGCAGTAGTCAAGAAATCAAATGACATATTGCACTGGGCAAGTCTGCTCCAAGACCTCTTTAAAGTATTCAAGAGCAAAAATGTCACTTTGAGGACTAAGGTGTGCCTGACCCAAGCCATGGTATTTTCAATCACCTCCTTTGCATGCGAAAGCTGGACAATGAATAAGGAAGACTGAAGAAGAATTGATGCCTTTGAATTATGGTGTTGGCAAAGAATACTCAATATACCATAGACTGCCAGAAGAGCGAACAAACTGTCTTGGAAGAAGTACAACCAGAATGCTCCTTAGAAGCAAGAATGGCAAGACTTCATCTCACATACTTTGGGCATGTTATCAGGAGGGACTAATCCCTGGAGAAGGACATCATGCTTGGTAAAGGACTATGGAAAAAGAGCAAGACCCTCAATGAGATAGACTGACATAGTGGTTGCAATAACGGACTCAAACATAGCAAAGTTTGTGAGGATGACGCAGGGCTGCGCAGTGTTTCGTTGTTCATAGGGTCGCTATTAGTCAGAGGAGACTCCAAGGCACATAACAACATATATCTTAAAAAGGAAATTTGTCTTTGCTTTTTGTTGTTAGTGCTGGTGCCATCAAGTCGATTTTCAACTCAGCAATCCAACATGACACAGCAGAGCTGCCCCATGAGGTTTTCTAGGCTGTAATCTTTATGGGAGGAGATCGCCAGGTCTTTTCTCCAGCAGAGCCCTGGGTGGGTTCCAACTGCCCATCTTCTGTTAGCAGCCGAGCGCTTAACCGTTGCGCCACCAAGGTAATAACTCATATGTAGGAAACTCCACAAGGTCCCACAGGGAGTGAGAAAACATCACCCTCCCCGACTTCCTTCTCTGCAGGCACCGCCCAAATGGTCCTCGCTGTACCCTCTGAAGCGCCCAGAGGAGGCTGAGGACCCCGCGCCGCCCGCCGCCGGCCCCCGCATCCACCTGCCCACCGCGCACCTGCTCGTGGCGCGCCAGCAGCGCTGGCGAGGCGCACAGGCGCAGCACCAGGAGGCTGCGCACCAGCTCCCAGTTGCGCCGGCTGCGGTACGCCTCCTGTGCGTTGCCGAAGTCCACTGCCGGCACCGGCGGCCGCGCGCCCTTGGCCGCCCCGAGCTCCGGCATGGCCCGCGGGCTCGCGAGGGGCTGCTCGCGGGCCGCCGGCGCAGTAGTCAGCCGGGCGAGGCGGGGGGCGCCCACAGGCAACACGGACAAGAAGCGCCTCAGAACCATGGCTGAGCGCGTGCGCGCGCCGGAGTCCCTTAAGTAGGCGCCGCGGCCCCGCCCCCGCCCCACCCGCCCCAGCGTGCTCCGAGCTTCGCCTTCTCCTCGGGAAGCCCTGCTCTAGCGTCGGACCCGCCCCTTCCCTTCTGGAGGCTCCTGAACGGCAAGCGTCCCGTGGTAGGCCCTGCCCACCGAGCCCGCCTTCTCTGCCCAAGGTCACCCCCATCCGGAGACCTAGTACGCTAGGCTCCCCGTTCCCCCCCTGTCCCTCGGGGACGGGGCCCGCGGCGAGGTACGCGGTTTCTGTTGGGTCTTCCAGGCTCCCAAGCTGGCCGGGTGGGTCTGGAGCCCGCCGGTCAGTGCCACTGCCCACATGGGTCCCCCTCTAGGCGTTGAACTGCATGGGCTCACAGCTGATGCCAGCCCCGGAATCCAGCTCCCGAAGGCGGCTCCGTTTCTTCTCCTGTTTAAAAGAACTTTGGGAAACTGTGCTGTCCCCCGGCCTGAGGCATGAGAGTGGGAAGAAAGGGGGCCTTGCTCAGCCCTCGCGTCTCTCCCACCCTCCCTCTCCTACTGCGTACCCAACTTGCAGACCCGCACCCCCCCCCCCCATGGTTCCTCTCTCCCTTACCTCCCTACTGCCTTCCCACCTCCCAGCAGAAGGAACTCAGTGCCCTTGGCCGCCTCCCTGGGTCCTCTGCTTTTCGCGTAAAGAGCCTTCCACACTCTGCTTCAAATGGACTTCTCTTCAATACTGTGTGCGACTGGCCCCCTCAGCTGCAAATGTAGCACCTCCCCCCAACAGAGACCCGCTCCCCAACACTCACCTCTCCACGACCTGTACCCCATAGATTCTAGGTCTGACTGGGTCACAGCGTCGCTCCCCACCATGCCTGAGCAGGGTAGGCTTCACCCGCCTCTATCACTGGGTGCTCTTTGCATCTTGCTGGAAAGAGTTCATGGGTGCTTTGGACGTCCTGGAATCCCTGGTGGTGCAGTGGTTAAGAGCTCGGCTGCTAACAAAAAGATAGGCAGTTCAAATCCACCAGGTGCTCCTTGGAAACCCTGTGGGGCAGTTCTACTCTGTCCTTTGTTCGCTATGAGTCGGAATTGACTCGATGGCAATGAATTGGATGTCCTTATCTGTCTGCACTGTTGGCATTCCGGGGAACCATTCTGTGTTGTGGGATGCTCAGCAGCAGCCCTGGCCACTAGATGTCAGTAGCATCCCCGCACCAAGCTGTGACAGCCAAAAATGTCTCCAAAGCAATAAACCCAAACCCGTTGCGGTGGAGTAGATTTCAACTCATAGTGACCCTATAGGACAGAGTAGAACTGCCCCCACAGGGTTTCCAAAGAGCACCTGGGGGATTCGAACTACAGACCTTCTTTTTTCTTTTTTAATTTTTTTTTATTGTAGTTTAAATGAAGTTTACATTTCAAGTTAGTCTCCCGTACAAAAATTTATACATACATTATTATGTGACCCTAATTGCTCTCCCCATACTGTGACAGCACACTCCTCCTTTCCACCCCTGATTTCTCATGTCCATTCAACCAGCTCCTAGCCGTCTCTGCCTTCCCATTTCACCTCTGGACAGAAGCTGTCTGTTTAGTCTCTTGTATCTACTTGAGCTAAGAGGTGCACTCATCGCGAGTATCACTTTATGTCCCACGGTCCAGTCCAATCCTTGTCTGAAGAGTTGGCCTCGGAAATGGTTTTACTTCTGGGCTGATAGAGAATCCAGAGGCCATGCTTTCCAGCGTTGCTCCAGTCTCAGACCATTAAGTCTGGTCTTCTTTCTAGAATATGAGTTCTGCACCCCACCTTTCTCCTGCTCCATCAGGGACTCTCTATTGTGTTCCCTGTCAGGACGGTCATTGGTGGTAGCCGGGCACCATCTAGTTCTTCTGGTCTCAGGCTGATGAAGTCTCTGGTTTATGTGGCCCTTTCTGTCTCTTGGGCTAATACTTTCCTTGTGTCTTTAGTGTTCTTCATTCTCCTTTACTCCAGGTAGTTGGGACCAATTGATGCATCTTAGATGGCCGCTTGCAAGCTTTTAAGACCTCAGACGTGAACTACCAACCTTTTGGTTAGCAGCCAAACTCTTAACACTACACCACCAGGGCTTCCAAAAGATGTCTCCAGACATTGCCAAATGCCTCCTGGGGGCACAACTGCCCCTGGTGGAGAATCGCTGATCCAGATTGAGGAAAGCCTCCTGGTAAGATCTGTTTTTCTGCCCTGCTCTTCCTCCTGCTGGTGCTGAGTAGAGAAAGGGGGAGACAAAGGGGCAGGAGGGACAGAGGGCAGGAACAAAGAGGTCCTTCACTCAGAGACTCAGCTCCCCAAGCAGGCCAGCCTTGGAACTCACCATGGCCATCAGACTCCCAGGGATGGGGACTATCCTCAAGGGACTCCCCATTTTCCTTTTGTGACGATCTTCCCTCCTGCAAATCCTTCAGAGACTCACTCTGCCACCCGACGCAGCCGTGTGGCTCAGCCTGGCACCTCGGCCTTCTGTGGCGGGCTCTGCCCACCCCTGTCACACCTCTCCTGCCCTGCTGGTCACTCTCAGGGCCCTCCTCTGAGCCCAGATCCTGTCCCTCCCTGGCGCCAGCCTTGGTCCTCCTGTACCTGGTCACCAAACTGGACTCCAGGTTCCTGACCCTGGGAATCACTTAGCCTGTGCCGGGCACTGTGTGGCAGGAGAAACAGCAGGACCAAGGCAGGCGAAGTTCAGCCTGCTCAGGCAGGTGCTCCCAGCTGACGCACCAGGCTCCAGAAGGCGGGAAGAGCAGACGTGTCCTCCTCACCAGGAGCCAGCACTGTGCTCAGCCCATTTTCTGGAGAATTCCTATGACCTGCCTGGGGACCCCCATCTAACACACTCATATCGGGGGTGGGACAGGGAGTTTCTTTGCACTGGTAACCATTCCCATTGCCCCACTAACCCGTTGCTGTCGAGTCAATTCCGACTCACAGTGACCCTATAGGACAGAGCCAACTGCCTCATAGTGTTTCCAAGGAGCGGCTGGTGGATTTGAACTGCTGTCCTTTTGGTTAGCAGCTGAGCTCTTAATCACTGCACCACCAGGGCTCCATCCCCACACTACTCTTGGCAAAATGCTTGAACTCGTGAAATGACAGGCTAGCTCTGGGGCTTGTCACGCCTCTCCTGAAACATTTACGACCAATGCCAGACAAGAACTCAGGCGCCTCCATCCCTGCAGTGACTCAGGAAACACTGGGTGGAGTCCAAGTCAAGACACACCTGGAAAGGTGAAGGCACATCCAAGGCCCAGCGCACAGACTAGGTGGCCATCGGCGCGCATACCTTACCCCACCCTCAGGACACAGTCCCTAGGGCATCCTTATTTCTTCCTCACAGGTGCGAGGGTCACACTGGGCTCCTCACCTCACATCTTACAGTAAAGCTTTCACTCTGTGCCTGTGGCATTTGCTCTGAGGAAGCCCTTGGCAAGGGCCCAGAGGTGGTGGCAGGGCTGCCACGGATAAGGACACAAGAAACAAGGGATGCAGTGTTTGAGGAGACTGTCCACTCACCTCTAGGATGGCTCACAGGGAGAATGCCCTACCTGTGCGTGTGTGGAAATAGGCTGGCCCAAAAGATGACCAGCCGAATATGAGTGAATCAAACAATCATGTTTCACAGGCAGTCAGTAAATGCTAAGAAACTGACTCTGCTCTGCCAGAAACCCTCAGCCGGCAGCCTTGGTGATGTGGTGGCTCCCGACCACCTGTACTTACTTAAAAAGCAGGACGGCCCAGTGGGTCCCGTGGGGAGGGTCTACCAGGAGGTGGGCTGGGTGGGGGATGAGCACTCAGGAGACCGCAGTGGATCCCAGAGTGCCCAATCTCGGCTCACTCAGCTGTAAGGGGGCCAGCCAGGGCGGGTCACCCTGGAGGTTAAGTCAGTCGGCAGGGCAAGTGCTCCTGAGGCAGCGACCAGGGACGCGTACAGACCCTTGCTTACGGCCCTGCTGTTATGTGGATTGCTCTTCCTAGAGACCGCCCTGGGTGGTGTGAATAGTTAAGCACTTGACTACTAGCTGAAAGGTTGGCAGTTCAAACCCACCCAGAGATACTTTGAAAGACAGGCCTGGAGACCTGCTTTTGAAAGGTCACAGCCTTGAAAACCCTGTGGAACAGAGTTCTGCTCTGCACACATGGGATCGCCATGAGTCATCATCAACTTGAGAGCAACTAACAACAAAACCAGTTCTTCCTAGACAACCCTCCCTTGGAATTCCTGCCGCCTCCCCTCTGGCCTGCTCAGTACTAATGCTCAGTGAAATATTTGTTTTTACTTCCACTGTGGGCCCGGAATTTAAACTCTGTCAAAGTTACCATTTCGCATGCTTCGTACCTGTATTTCCTGAAATATTTGTCTGCCTGAGTCGTGGCTACCTGCATCGGGCTATATTCTGATTTCCTGCATTTTGCGGCTTGCTTTGTACTCATCTTTACTGATATATTTGTTCTGTCTGCACAAAGAGAAACTCATTCACATTTGTTTAATACTGTGCCTGTCTTCCAGTTATTGGTCCACACGAGACACGTGCCAGTGTTTGTTCTCCCTTCATCCCACACATAAATTCCCTCACCAGCACATTATCCTGTTACCCGTAGATTCTACTCAAGCTCTATTTAGCTGTGTACTTGTATTCGTTTTTTTTTTCAGAGCTAGTAAAATATGATTGCGTTTCCAGAAGTTAAGATCGTCGACTAGATTCCAGAACACACTACTATGTTTACGTGAATGCGATCACACTTTGCCACAGCAACCACTTTACATAATCACTTTCAATGCCTGTGTGAGAAAAGATATTTAGATGTTTTCCCCCAGATTCTTTCCTTGTAAAATCAAGGTGTAATCTGTACTAACAAGTACGGCGTTCTTCACAGCCTTTCCATTTGAGGGCTATGATTACTGCCCCATTTTATTCAGGGAAACTGAGGCTCGGGAAGGAGAACTTGCCCAAGGGCTTATGGCAGCATTTGAAGCCAGGTTTGCCATCCC